GGCTGGTGACTCCTTCGGGCTGGAGCGCGGTTTCCCTGCAGTCTGTCTGTGAGAAATGTCTTCAGCGCGGGATCGTGGGGCCCCTGTGGACCCGTGGCAGCACTCTCTCTGACCCGGTGCAGCGGTGCCCACCCCGCTGTGTGTCCCGAGGGCCTCCGACGCTGGCGGGGAGACCAGCTGTCCTCGCCGAGGACCCCGCACGCCCACAGAGGCTCACGGTCAGCCTCCCGGCATTCAAGGAAGACCGTGCGGAGCTTGAGTCCTGCTGGGATGCTGGGAAGACGGGCGTGCGCTCCTCCCTCCTCCTCTGTGTGACAGCAAGGAACCCAGACCCCGGTCTGAATCTCCACGGAGCCAGCACTGACTGTGAGGTCTCAGGTGATGGTGGAGACGCGGATCGCCACGCCCAGGGAGGAGGCGCCCTGATGAGCTGACTTAACCCTCAGAGCCGCGGCTGCAAGTGCGTTACTGTTGTCGCTCACGCCCTCCTGGGGGGCATTGTAACCCCCGATCACGGCACACGGGGCGTGAGTCCAGATGTCCGGCTCCCAGCCCTGGTGCCTAACCCCGGGGGCACATGGGTACTGCTGTCTGGCAGTTGTGCGCTTCCGGTGACCGCGTGTGCCCCGCGTTCAGTCCACTGCCCGTCATGTGGTGATGGCGCCCCTGACGATGCCTGGCGCTGTTGCAAGCGTGTGGACACATCACAGCCAGTGGGTTGTGCTCGGTTGTGTGAAGGAAAGCGGGATGGGTGTCTGGGGACAGAAGAATGTTTGGAAGGACTCCCAGCGGAGTGTGCATGACGTCATGTCTGGTGACAGGGTTGCGGTCAGTTTCTCTTTTTTTTCTCCGTTTTGCAGAGTTTGCACAGTAAACGTGGGTTGTTACTATTATTTGAAATAAAAGTCTGCAACATGTTGTGGTATTTGTTAACGAAGGTGAGCAGGAGCTCCCAGGCAGGCAGGGGTCCTCGCGGCCTGGACGAGTGCTGGCTGCGTGCACCTCTGCCCCCTGCAGGTTGTTTGCTGTCTGTCTCCGTTTGTCATTTGTCGTTTAATTCTGGGTGGTGTGGAGTTTTTGGACAGACAGACATTTTCTCTACTGCCTTGCTTTTTGGGATTAGAAAGGTCTTTCCGTTCCAAGAGAATAGGATTGTTGCAGTAGCAACTTCCCCTTTGTTTCTGGGGAGAATAATCAGCCCTGTGAAACCCACACCTCCTGCCCGGAGCCGGCTCCCGGGGCCGGCTCCCGGGGCCGCGTGCGGGAAGCAGCCCTCGAAGGTCAGTCCCTCTGGCCTTCAGTCTGGGGCTCAGCCTTGGAAGAGCGCTTGGCCTTCCCAGGTGCACGCAGCCCTGGTGGTGGCCGCCAGCGGTGCTGGAGCTCATATCTCTGCTGGAAGCTTCTGTGTGGACTGCGCCTGCCACTCAGTGGGTTTGAAGTCCAGAGTCAGACCCGCTGTGCGCACCTTTGAAAAGCGCGGAATTCTACGTGGCTGTTGTGGGATGCAGAAAGAGACAGAAACTTAATTACGTAAGCATTTTCTTTGGGCGCTTTAAACGACTTTTATGGCCATTCAAATCTGGAATCAAATTTGAATTTATTTGCAAATTTCTAACCAGTTGTCCTAAGGCCATTGTTTAATAATGACTACTTCTCCTTCTGATCTTGTTTGGGATGCTGCATTCGATACCTGCTCAGCTCAGCGCTGGAGTCCCGGACGCACACTGGGCCGGTCGCACCTTCCTCATGTCCTCCCTGCTTGGAAGGGCAGAGCCCCACACCTCCTTTGTTTTGTCCAGAACTTTTGAAGGTTGAAATTTAGGTGAGTTTTCCTTTAGAATGTTGACTGGATTTTTGGAAAGTTTCCGTAATGTACGAGGGTTTCTTAGGCCAGGCATTTTGTATTTTGGTTGAAATTAGGAACGTGTTTCTAGCCGTTTATTGCTGTTGGAAAGGAAACCCTTTGCTCACTGGGTGTGGCTGAGGCAAGAATCAACCCAGTCGCACCCAGTTCTGTACCCCCGGCGTGGACGGCGGCAGTTGGCCTAAGTTAGGCGCTTGGTAAATATTTGCCGAGCGAATGAACAAACATTTTTGTGTACGTGGCATTTTTCCCTTTTCCTTCTTTTGGATTACTTCAGATAGATGCTCAGGAATGACGTTGGGTCAAAGGGGATGAGCTTTGTGCGGCTTCTTCCGTGTGCTGAGGTTCGGTGGGTGGAGGTTCCTTCCCACAGGGCCGGAGAACCCGGGGCACAGAGCTTGGCCCAGGGGGTCGCATGGTGGGATTGTGGGTAGGGGACAGCGCCCAACTCCCATGATGCTGCTGGGTCGCTATACCAGCCCCTCCCCCAGGAACACGCCCACCTGCTGGGAGTGGGCCCTGAATGAACTCACTTGTGACCAGATGACCTTATTATAGGACTTTTCTGCACCCCAGGGAGAGAGCCAGGCCTGGGAGAGTGTCCAGGGGAAGGGGCAGGGGCTGGGGCCCTTCTCCCCAAGCGTGGGCTTCTGGGTTTGGGGCCGGTGGAGGCCTGGGGACTGAGTCTGTGGGAGCAGCTGGGGCACCGTGTGGTTCTTCTCAGCCACTGAGGACTCAAGTCCACGTCCGGCTGGATGTGGGTGGCCTGTTTTCATTCTCTGACCTGACCTGACATGGCACCTAAATGCAGCAGATGTCTCAGATCAGGACCTTGCCCGCCCAGCGCAAGTCTGTCCCCTGGCCTGCAGCTCATGTGGCTGGGTAGGGACCACCAGAATAGCTTTCCAAAATGTTCTGTGTGGCTCGTGTTGGGACTGGGATTAGCAGCCTTGGGGCAGTGGGAGCAGCTAGACACGAGGGGAGAGTCGGATATCTGAGTGCGTCAGGCATCTTGGACTGCGTTGAGAGCAGCAGGTCTGACCTCTGCCTTCAGGGAACTCAGGCTAATGAGGGGCACATGAGGCGTGTGCCACCCTCTGTGGGAAGCTGACCTGGGGTATGCAATGTCATCCCGTTCAGAGGATAGAGAGAACATGCAGGCTCAGGTTGGGGAAATCTCTGGAGGTAACATTTGCATTGGGCTTTGAAGGATGTATAGGAGTTGGGGAGACAGTGTTCTGGGAGACCTGGGATATGGCCCTCGCGAGTCTTCTGACGGCAGATACTGGTACCTGGCCTCTTGCTGGACACTTGTCTCCTACAGGCACCTGCTGAGCTGAGCCTTGGCTCTGCCCCTTCCAGCATGATTAGAGTACCCATCTGGCTCTCCAGAATTTGGGATTAGAGCATTGTAAATTGGGGGTAGGGGGCAGATCCTGTCTCCCAGTCCTGCTGCCCATCCCTCTGGCTGGCAGGTGCCGGGCAGATACGGTGAGGTGGTGATAGGCTTCAGCTGGGCTGGGGCTTAGTGAAGGGCACTCCTGGTGATGGGCTCATGGAGATGTTCTGTGATGTCACATCGCTTGAGGGTCCTACTTGCCCCATTGGAGAAGGGCGGAGGAGGTATTGAAACTGTGAGCCATCAGCCAGACTAGCCGGACTCGTCGTTGGTCCCTAAAGAGCGTTGGCGTCTCCATGGTTAAAGGACAGAGAAGTCACCTTGAGTCCTACAGTCCTGTGGGAGGGGAGAAGTGAAGGCTGCCTGATGCCCTTGGCCTCCACTTCAATCCCCAAGGCTGTTTCCCACCCGGTGGCCTTCCCACCAACCTTGGCTCCCAAAATGGTCTGCATTTACCATCACAGTCCAGAGTAGCACAGTTGAGACACACACAGTGTGAACCATGATATACGTGCTTTAAGTTTTCTTTTTTTTTCTTTTAAGATTTTATTTGTCAGAGAGAGAGTGTGAGCACAAGCAGGGGGAGCGGCAGGCCAGAGGGAGAAGCAGGCTCCCCGCTGAGCAGGGAGCCCGATGTGGGGCTCGATCCCAGGACCCTGGGATCATGACCTGAGCCGAAGGCAGGCGCTTAACGACTGAGCCACCCAGGCGCCCCCATGCTTTAAGTTTTCAAGTGTAGGTGAGATAATGTGATGTATCCAGAGTATTCCGTCGTGTGGCGCCCGCCGCATTTCCCATGCTCTGTGGCCTCGTGTGTCCAGTGGAGGCTGTGCTGGGCAGATCTGGAGGGACTTTCCATGTTGAACCCAGACTGAACCCGGGGAGACCGAGAGCCTCGTTAGTGATTGTGATCTAATCAGGTCGGGGCGAGGTCTGCTCGGGATCGACATTGACATGCTTTCAGCGCTTTCCAGATTTTTAAAAAGGGAAGGAACCCCAGTTAATCATTGCCTCGAGGCGGTTTTCCCTGCTGTATTGACCAGATTTCTGTAACATGAATAATAGGTCAGACATTGAAAGCATGTGACTTTAATGTTTGTTTTTGCCTGGGGAATTTAGTGAGAGAGGATCACAAGGTTGCTAACTGTTCCCCGGCCAGATTTTCCCCTTTAAACCGAGGATTCCCATTCAGGCAGATCTGTCGTGTGCCCGCCATGTGGGGGCAGTGGGAGAGGTTCTCGACAGGGCCCGCTGCCCAGCACCCTTCCCGGCACTTGGTGTCAATTTTAAAAAGTTTTACCCATGGGACGTGCCCTCTGGTTTCCAGCCTGCCGTGTCCTTTGGCGGCCTCCCAGAGGCTAACAGGTGGAAACAGGGTTATTTGACATGGCGAGGCCGGGACTCCACGCCTGCCTGAGCGAGGTGTGAGCTCTCTAAACGGACGTTGTGCGTGCCCCGCGTGCAGGGTCAGCGAGAACATCAGCCGTTCTGAAACCATCTGCAGACGGTGTTCTGTGGTCCTGGAATTCCAGGCCCCACAGGCAGGAGGATTTCTCACCAGGGCTGAATTCCCGCTGTCCTTGCTGTTTGCTCCGCCCGCTTGCATGAGCAGCGGCTGCCCGTCCCGATGGTGAAGTCTTTGACCTTGTGCTTCCTACCAGCACCGTCCACGGGGCAGGGTGCGTCCGCCCGTCCCGCCGTGTGGCCGTAACGCTCTCTCCGCTTCCATCTTTGCAGGCTCCTAATCGTCAGCTCATGACCTACTGGCTGCAGGAGCTCCAGCAGAAGCGGTGGGAGTACTGCAGCAGTCTGGACATGGTGAAGTGGGACAGCAGGGCCTCCCCGACCCCGGGGGATTTCTCTAAGGGTCTTGTAGCCAGAGATAACTCAGGTAAGTCACAGGTGGGGGGACGTGTGTCTGTTCCTCGTGCACAGCCGTTTTCCACGGCAGGTCAGCTGGATGGACGTTCTGAACCAAAGTAGCGATGATCTCTTTCCAACGGTGGTATTCCCTACTTTCCGGGGGCTTCCGTGTACGGAGTCGTATTCAAGCCTGATGATGACCCCTGTGTTGCCTGCATGTGCCCCCCCCCACCAATGCGCTCACAGACATTTGTACGCACTTTGTTCTCAAAGCCTGTGCTCCCGACATCTCCCCAAGGAGACTTTAACCAATTCCATTTTATTCTAGGTTTGTGGCATTTCAACAACTCTTGCTAATTCCCAGTCTCAGTGTAGAGATAATGGGTCTTTTTGTTTGAATATCGAGACAGTGAAACGCCACGGCATCTTCATGATGGGTTGTGTTGAGCAGCATTCTCTTGCTGACCGTCCGTGCCGGGGCTGTGCTCTGGGCCGGCACTGGGGCTCCTGCCTTCCTCATGGGAGAGGGCAGGCCATGGGGTCCTGACGTCAGGCTGACAGGTGCACACGCCAGGGCCCAGCCAGTGAGGGCTGGTTCTCTCGCCTACAAAGAGGTGAGGTCTGCACTTCCTGATGCCCACGGGACCTTCTGCTCCCTAGAGCACAGGCTCCGTCAAGTTCCCTGCAAGCCACAGCCGCCTTGTTCCAGAAGCAGATGCCCACAGAGCCCCACCCCTGCAGGCCCCTGCTGCCCTGCCCACCGTGTGCTAGACAGCCACAGCAGGGTCTACAGCCAGACCCTGCGGTCAGTGACATGGTCACACCTGTCCACACGCACTCCCGTGAGGTCCTCCTGTCGTTCTCAGGGGCATCCACACCCTGAGGACACCGAGAGCCAAGGGGGCACCTCTGTGTTCGTGCACAGTTCTGCCGGGTGTTTGAAAGCCGCTCTCCTAGGGGTTTTGACCAGAAGCAGCTCCATGACTCAGTCTTGTTGAGCACACTCGTGACCCCGCCGGTGCCTCGGGGGTGGGGCACACACCATCTGTCTGTTCCTTTAGTCTTAAAGTTTAGTGATTTATAATCTCCACGCCCAACGTGGGGCTCAGCCTTGAGATGGAGGGGTACACGCTCTAGTGACCAAGCCAGCGCGACGCCCTGGTTCCTTTATTCTGAGGACGGAGTACATCTGACAGACCCAGGGCGCTAGACCAAAGGGTGTTTGTAACTCAGATTTGTATTAAAAATAAAGTTTTTCTCTTCTTCTGACTTCGTTGCCCCTTGTTCGGGGCATTCTCATTTTCATCCCATGCTGTCCCGCCAGCACCCGCGGGCCCTGACGTCGCGGGAACGGACAGCTCTGGTGGGCAGGCGGTTGTGCATCTTGGGAGGAAGCTCCATCGGCTGAAGCGGCCCTGGGGCCCCGAGCTGAAAGTAGGTACTACCGCCTGGGCCGCCAGCAGGTCTGCCGAGCCCTGCTCCACTGCCCCTGGCGCGTCTGTCTGTCTGAGCCTTGGTCTGCTCATCAGTGGGATGGAGAGCATGCCCCGCTCCGACAGTCTGTGGTCTGGGTGGTGGGGTCTAAGGGCCGAGAAGTCACAGTCCGTGCTCTCGAGGAGTGCATGGCCGGGTGAGGGGCCTAGGCTGGTGCAGGCAGCTCTGAGGAGCACGGCGCAGCCATGAGGCCGGCCGGGGATGCAGAAGGAGGTCCAGCGGGAGCAAGAGGCCAGAGAGGAAGCTGGATGGATGGTCGGGGGTCAGACCTGGGGGGGCATCACCAGACAAGGGAGAGCAGGGTGAGCGACGGCTGGGATGTGCTGAGTGCTGGGGAGGGGACCGGTCAGCGGGATGAGGCTGGGATCAGGCTGGAAGCCATGGTGGCCACAGTTCTGGCGGGGGGGGGGGGGGGGGGGGTCGCGGAAGGGAGGGGGGGGGGCGGGCGGGCAGGGGCATGGTGGAAGGGCTGGAGGATTTGGAGGTGGGTCAGGTGGGAGGGAGGGGAGGCCCGGCAGGGGGCTGGAATGCGAACCACCTGTCCACCCCTCGCAGTCCTGTCATAAGGGGCAGATGGGCGACTGCATTACATGTAAAAGTATGTTGAAATTGAGTTGGTGAGGATTACGTTCAGCTGCAGTCAGTGGGGAACCTGACTCACAGGGATGGGTTTGTCTCTTGAGGCGCTGTTCGCCGTAGGTCCCAAGTGGGTGGGCTTTCCCAGTCCGCTCCTGCCGGTGCCCCGGGGGCGGAAACAAGGCGGCCCCCCGCCCTCGGTTTGTGCCTCCTTCGCGGGGGGTGGGCGCGGAGTGGCCGTCCAGAACCAGGGAGGGAGCGGGGAGGCAGGGCGCACAGCTGAGCGCACGGCCACCGTCCACAGCAGCCTCTGTGAAGAAACTTGCGGGGAGCCCTGGAGCAGCACTGTCACCCGCTGGCCTACTGAGCATTCCTTCTCCAGAGTTCATGTCCTCTGCGTAGGAGTCTGTTGTCTCGTGACTGGGATTTGCAGCTTGACATTCGTCAGGCTGCACAGGAGGGATGGCTTGGCTGTGTCTTTCTGCTCCGCCTGCTTGCTCCCTGCAGCCTGGCCCCGCACGCACACGGACCCTGCAAGTCCCTGCCTGGCTGTACCCCGCGGGAGCGCTGTGCCGCGCGCACACGGACGCCGCCCGTCCCCGCCTGGCTGCACCCCGCGGGAGCGCTGTGCCGCGCGCACACGGACCCCGCCCGTCCCCGCCTGGCTGCACCCCGCGGGAGCGCTGTGCTGCGCGCACACGGACCCCGCCCGTCCCCGCCTGGCTGC